TTTTTTTTTTATGAAATTAATTGTAAATTTTTTTTTAGAAAAAAGAATAAATAATAAATAAATAAAAAAATTAATAAAATTAATTAATACTGTAAAAAAGATTTAATTAAAAAAATTATATATTTATTTTCGCGAATTTCTACATTGATCATTTTTTAAGCTGTATTGACTAACTGTTTATATAGTTAAACAGATACATACTAAAGTATATAAAATTTTTATTAAAGTTTTATTTATAAATGGTTTAAATTACTTTTGCAATATCAGTATTATTAATACTTTTTGATGTTAAATTTACTTGTTCAAATTTTATCTATTTATATTAATTAAGAAATGTACTTGTGCAATATCTTCTAAATACAATGAGTTTTTTGTTATGATAATAAATTGATTCTTTTATAGGTACCCATGTGATATACTTACGTGATTTGGGTTAATTAAATCTGTTGATTCTTGTACACTGAAGGATTCTGTTGTCGATATCTATGGTCGAAAATTAATTATCCCTGTTCTTGAGAGTGTAACAGATTATGATGCTGAAATGACTGAAGAACGTGCTAAAGGAATTTTAAATGCAATAGACGATGATAGGTTCCTTATAAAGGTAAAATTTATTCGGAAAGATAATGGTAATTTTACGTAAAATCGTTACATTGTAAGCTCATAGATAATATTCTAAGCGAAGCATACGAACTGGCTTTAGTCAGTTTCACTACGTTATATTTGTTTTTGTCTCATATGTAAAAAAAGATGTTCTTTTATCGGTAATGCAATAAATTATTTACATATTTTGATGTGATTATCTAACTTGAAAGTCTTTAGAGTTGTATCTGCACTCTCTGGGAACCGTGTTTAACTTCGATGATTATAATATCGATTCTACAAACTCCTCGTATGGTATGTTCTAACGTGGATTCATTTGCACAATTGCACATTACAAAATTCACAATTTCGAAAAGTCACGTGAGAAATTTTTTGCAATTTCTAACTTGTCATTACGAATTAGTTCTCCTCGAGTCTTTCCATAATGTGTCCTTTAGAGATCAATAGAACTCTTAAATATTTGTGTAATTCGCTCTTTCATCTGACTAATATTACCATGATATAGGTGATCTTTCATTAAAATTGCTTCTTGTGCTTGTTTTTATAAACGGCTTTACAATGTACTCTTTCCAGGTATCTGAACTTATCATAACATGAAGAAGAGAAATACCCTTAATTTTGTCAAGTTTTTCATGACACCTTTATCTTCTTTACACGTAATAACCTTAGGAGGGCGTTTGTATCATGAGTTTTAGTTCATTAGAGACAATATGGCTAAAGAAAGATTTCCATCGTTTTTGATCATAGACTTATGCTTACCAATATTCCTCTATAGAAATTTAATCGGATAGTATGTATCAAAAGGATATCCAGAAATTATGCAATTGACTTTTATAACTGATTACGAGCATTTTTGTTATTTGTTGAAATGGGAAACCTCCGATTTTAACGACTACGTGGAGATTGGATTTGAAAGGAAACTCTTTCCAAATATCTTTGATTTCAAAATAAGTCACTTCGCGTCAACAGTTTCGAAGTAATCTTTTTCAGCCTTCTGAGTTCGCCAATTTGTTTCGTTTTCTTTAATTTTGATAGAGATTATATTTCTGAATGGCTTTCCTAGAACCAGACAATTGATGTTGACAGAACGCATTTTTCTGTGTTGACAAAACACAAACGGTTGTATTTTTCTGTATTTATGTTAACATCAAGGAACTCTATTAGCCACAAGTCTAGTTCAAATTTGTTGGCAAAATACAGCAATATACTATAGAATTGATAAGACAATGATACCTGTTCGGTTTTATTAACTTTTTGAATGTGTTGCTGACAGTTATCTTTCATGAAACACGCAGGGTCAAAAAATAAATAACAATTCATTACAATAACCTAGTAAAGCCCGTCGAAATTTTAAAAAATAGTCTTTAGTCGCGAGCTCTGAAATTATTTCTTTGGGCACAGCCAAAATATTCGACCTTAATTGTGTATTGTCTCTTTAATGCTTCAAATGTTTTTAATAATTTCTTGCCAGCGCTTCCTTCAACGAGTTTAGGCTCGGAGAAAATAATACAACAGTTTTAGCTGCGAAGTAAGAAAAATTTCTAAGAGCTGGGAGAGCTGGGGACCGATTTTATTAATACATTTACCGTAGGATCGGCATCGTGCATGAATAGAAACCGCGCCCACGCAAAAGTATCGATCTTGATATAGATGCGGTATGCTTCTTGAATCTTGATAGACATATATTTATTTTTATTATTGATATATCAAGAACTATCCCCCTGACCTATCAAGATCGATACTTTTGCCGCGCCCACAAAATGGAGCTGCAAAAATTGGTTGTGTCGCCTAATAAAATTTTTTTCAATATATTTTATATTTTCGTTTTATATTTATATTTTAAAATAATAACTGTTGTTATAAAATACTACGAGTGCAATTTCCCTGAATTATACCATATAAAGAGGGGAATGTAGTATATGGCTGGGCCATAGGATTGATCGAAGATTGGACGAAGTACAGAAGCGGATAGTCTCTACGCTTTATGCAAGGGACATTTCCTCTTTTGACGTTCATAAAATCGTTGAAAATATATAGCTGGACTATGATATTAATATATATAAAACAAGTCTCTCACGTACATGGTATGTCAATTATATGTTGTCACGTATTAAATGAGCTGTTTGTTAATTAAATATATTTCGTTTCTAGGATAGAGTGTACAGCAAATCTGCAGGGAAAGAACTTACTTGCACAAATCTTTTTCAATTAAAAATTAAAGACGTATTTCCCATCCAGGTACAAGAAAGTTTAGTATCTGCTCTATTGCATCAAGTACAATTCCAGCGCAATTCGCTGTGCAGGTTATTGTGAATAAGATGCAGGATCTTTGTTCTGTCTTCTTTGAAAATTCTGCAACTATACAATCCACTTCTATACTATTAGTTCTGGAGACACTGTCTGTATACTTCCATCCGTAGACTTTGTTATTAAATGATATATTATCTCTCTTCTTTGTAAAGATTCTATGATAGATAGATCACAATAAGTTCATTAAAAGAGAGCCAATTAGAGAAGGCGGATTTGGATTGATTTATAGCGCAGAGTGGAAAGAACGTAAAGAAAAAGTCATACTCAAATATGTCAAGTCAAATCCGAACATCAGAGAATTTATTGAGGTCAGAAATTTTAATAAAGAGGTGTGTACAAGTTCTTATCATTGATGCGCAAACAACAACTCATGAGGATAGATGCGAATTCATCAGATTAATACTTGATTATGATAATATTATCACGTTTAATGGTATGGCACAAGGTAGGCTGATTTATAACATATTCTTGATTTCATTTTATCATATTATTTCATTGTTTAACCGAATTGATAATACCAATCAACAGTTTGCGCAATATGCAGATGGGGCAGCTTGTGAAAGTATCTTGAATACAACTTTCAGAACTTAACATAGTTTGATAAGCTTCGTTTCATACAAGAAATTATCAATGGCCTCCTCTGGATTCATGACAAAAGTTATCCACCGGGTTCTTGTAAGGTTGAGATTTGGATTTTATTGTTGTTGTGAGATTATAATTAACTAGAGCAGATTTTAATATGTTGTATATCTGGAACATGTTCAGCATTCTAACAACATTAATTAATCAACGCAAAATAAAAATTTCCGATTTTGGGTTATCAGAAATGATTGATCATAGTATATGAACATTTGTTGGTGAAATACCTGCTTACATGGAACCCCCGTTGTTTATTTCAAATGAATATTGCCTTGATGAGAAGTCTGACGTGTAGTTTAGGTTCCTTTTGTGGGAAATCTGCAGTGGACAGCCACTATTTAATTCCGAATCACCTCAAAAAGTGATCGCACTGATCTCTAATAACAACGTGAGATGCCAATATGTGGGACTCCGAGTAAATATGTAAATCTCTATCAGGAATGTTGGCAACAAGACCCACATCTAAGACCAACAACGGAAGAAGTATTTATTGTTCTCAAATCCATTCCCGAAATATGATATCAATCCAGTGATGACAACCTATATCAATCCTTTGCTCAACAGGATATCTAGTACGTATTTTTTGACATGGATCATCTATATTCCTGAAAAAATTAACGCAAACTGCTGTTTTAGGTTTATGTAATGATGGTGCTAACGAGCTTGACATTAATGATTACCTTTAAAACTATACAAAGAGAGAAATAATCTGTTCATATTTTTTGTTCTACCATGGAGCACAATATTCAGTATTTGAAAAAATTTCAACAACGAGACCGTGATTCGAGGTCACATTCGTCTTGTTTCATTTATATCTCACATAGTACAATTTATGCCATACTTCAATTCCGCAGCAAAATATTTTCGAAACAACGAGATCGCGACCCGAGGTCACAGTTGTCTATTTCACTGGTTTATAGCAAGTATTTCGAGACCTAAATATTTCGATAAAGAAAAACTATTATTAGTTGTTAGTGATTGGTGATTTTACCTATAAATATCATGTTTTAGTTGTTTCATGGTACAGAATCAGTGTTTCCTCATTTTTTCACGATGGCAACCATATTACAAAGAGCCGGAAGAAAATGTTATCAAAAAATCGATACGATTAACGCTACGAATAGAACTGAGACTTACAAAAGATCATATGACATTGTATCATCTATCATAAACGATAGAAATAGTTTAATTATAATTCAAGCTTCTGATAAGAATGGAATTAATTCTCCTTGTCAGATCTAACATTAGTGATTAATAAAGATGCCGTGCATGAATGTTTCGGAGAATCTACAAGAAATTCAATTGATGATGCATGCGAAATAATGTCTAAATGGCAAATATATATAATGGATGAATACGAACGCAGATACTGCGTGAAATATGCTGCATTCTCGCATATGTTTTATGATGCGGATAGTAATGATAATATAAAAAGTAACCTCCTTGAAATTAGTAGAGAGTTTGGTAATGTTGAATTCGATGAAATGCAATTGATGGTCGTATATAGATCCGCTAGAAATAAGGTCACTCATAAAAGAATTTGGAAACCGGATGAGACATTTGTCTTGCCGGTAACGTTAGAACCACAAACATAATAAAAATTATTTATTTATAATCATTCCCCTATAATGAAGATCAAAGGAAAGAATTCTAAAACCAAGTGGATTGATTTTAATTTATTTAAAGTTCTTGAAGAATGCAAGAGATTGATTGTCCAGAGCAAAGCGTAGGACTGTAAACGCTCCGGACTTTGACTTTACAAGAAATTTTATCGTTGATGCCAGAGCTATTGAACACGCCAGGCCATTAAACGTCATAAAGCTTTAGAATGCGCAGATGAAATAAGTAACGAAAATGCTTATATCCATATAAGACAACGACGCATACTTCGTTCAGGAATTGGCAAAATTATAGACTATTTGTATAATATGTAAGTTGAAGAATATTTTTTTTATTTTTGGAAATATTTTTTTTTTTTTATAAAAAAAGGAAGGAAACTCACATTTGCTTGTTCTTTCAGTTCTTTCGTCGAATCCAGGGAAAATTTTTCTTTGAATTGTGCCGTAATATTACGGCGATCATGATTATTTTATTAAATAGGAACTGCTTTAAATTTTTAAGAATATATAAAATTTGATTTTTATTAATTAAATAAATAAATATAATATAAACTTCATGCAAAAGAGAAATAATTACAGTATTCCTTATGTCATAATTCCATCAAGTATTTATTTATTTTTTTTTTTAGTCTCTGAACAAATAGCATCACATGATTTATATTAAACGACATAAAATAAATGTTACTGTGTTGAATTTAATGCTCTTTCAACGCATGTACAAAATCACCTGCTCCATTATTTTGCTTCAAAATTATGATACCAATCTTGCCTTTTTATTGACTGGCTGATTTCCTTCTTGATAACCAACTGCCATTCATGAAAAATTCATTTATTGCGTTTTTAGAGCATAGAGTTACGATCCGGAGGGCACATTTTGGTAATTATACACAGATTTTAATTAATAACCAATGCACAATCTAGTAGTCTAAAAAATAACTATTTAGTACATAAAAAAAGAGAAAATAAAAATGGATTCAGATGAATTCAATCCATTTTAATTTTCTCTCTACTTTTATTTTTTGAAGACAATATTATGTATTGATAGATATTCATAAGATATCTAAAAAAAAAATTCTTTTTATTGACTTAATATTCATAAAATGGCAGAAATGTGTTTATTTACGGATTGACGCATCGCAACTCTATTAGAGCAAATATTTAAAGAATTTATTTTATTAGATGAATCCCGCAAATTTAATTATTACATGTAAAATATGAAATCTAAGCTAAGTACTTCGATCAATTGTCTTGCCTGTTTTTTTAAAGGAAGCTATGATCTGACATTACATAATATTGTTGTTAGCCGGTATAGATAAATCAATCATTTTTTTATATTTTGCACCTTCCTCACTATCCCAGTAAATTTCATCATCATAATATTCCATTACTTTTTTCATTTCTTCAGCAAAATCTTCTCCCTTATGTGATTCGTAATATGACTGCCATACAAGCTCACCATAATTTATACTGGGATCATATTTTGATCCTTGCGGCCCAACAATGGTCTCATCTGTTTTGGTTTTAAAATATTTGAAACAATTCATCATATTGTATTATTATTATATGAAGGACAATATTATTTTAACTTGCTTACCACAACCCTTTTGCTGAATTTGATGCATTTCGCTCTTAACAGTTTTCTGGCCTTTTCCAATAAAGCGACTACTAATGAAATGATAACCGAGTATTCCCAGAACTACTAAGATAGTTATTTGTAACTTCTTTGATTTCAAGACAGAGTTTGTTTGTACTTGGAGCATGTTTTTTATTAATATTGAACTCACTGCCATTTCTTTTATCTGATTTAATTGAGATTTTAAGTCTTCTAATTATTACATAAATCTCTATAGTATTTGTTATATTTAAAAGGTGTTCATATCTTTTTATAATAAAGAAACTTTTTATTTTCCTTTTAGATAATATGATAAATCAGTATTTTTTTTTTATTTTATAATTTAATTATTCTTCTATCATAAATGACAAAATTGTTGTAATAGTTGATATAATTGATCATTAAAGTTAAGTTTAAATGTTAATTGTTAAATAGCAGGACTTTTATTGCTTTATCAAGTAAGTTTTCAATCAGTTTTCTAAATTTTTTTCCAGATCTTATTAATTACATATAGCAAAAGGACTGTTATTCTGACATAATTTTCCTTTAACCATTGCTATTAGGTAAAGTTTAAACAAAATAAGATGGAAAAAACTATTTTGGAATTAGTGTAGTGAATAGAACATTAAACCCAGCAGTGTTGTGACTGGGACTGGGACATGTCCTTGGATGGGACAGGACGGGACAGTCCAGAACTTGGACAAGATGTTGTTGATGTCCAGGACAATAATTAATTATAAAAGGATATATGATTTATATATAATATTAATAAATTGGACAATATTTTGGACAGAACAGGATGGGACAAATGAAATTGGACTTGGACAGGACATCAAAATTTTGTGGGACACTGTCCCACCACATCACTGATTAAACCTCCTTACAAATTTTTAGGTACTGTTACTTTGCATTTTTGCATAACTTTATTAAAAAAACATACTTTTTTTACTTTTTTAAAGTAACACATTCAATATAATTGCCAATCACTTTAATTTATCTAATAAAATGGATTTTTAACTATACTTATAAAAAAGAACTCTAAATAAAAATCATTATTTTAAAAATATAAACTTTATTTCATATTTAATAAGCAAATACAGCAGGATTAAACCTTATAGTAGCAATATTTTAGTAGTTAAATTTTACTAATTAGTTGTATTAGGTTTTTTTCTTCTTTTTTTTTATATTATATATTTTTTATTTTAATTATTATTATAATAATAAGAGTTACTAAAAAATATTTAAAAAATATATATAAGTATTATAATTGTTAAAATATATGATAACTCTGAACTATTGCTTCAAAGATACCATAATATTAACTGATTTGTATTTAATAAGATTAATGTATATATAAATAAATATTTGTGAACCAAATTGCTAACCTGTTGTGAAGGGTTTAATCTTTTTTGATCTTCAAATTTTCTGACATTATTTGTAGTGCTCTACATGAGCCGGCTCGAGCCAAACTACAGTCTGGCTTGGCTCGACTTGAAGATCTGTGCCAAGCCAAGCCTGAAATGAGCTGAGCCACAAAAAATCTTGGTTCAGCTCAGTTCGAGCCAAGCTAAGCCATGAAAATCCTGGCTTGAGCCAAGCTGGGCTTGAGCTGGCTCGAACTGGCTCGAGCTTTATCATAAAAACGTTTTCGCAACGTTTTTACTTTAAATTATTAAAAAAAGTTGCGAAATGTTTTTTACTTTTATATTTATATAAAACGCTGAAAGTATTTGTTTCGGCATTTTTCCTTTTAATTTTACATGTAAAAACGCTGAAACTGATAGTTTTGGCATTTTTTTTGATTTTACATGTAAAAGCGCCAGAATAATTAGTTCCAGCGTAAAAATGCCGAAACTGATAGTTTCGGCGTTTTTTTTTGATTTTACATGTAAAAGCGCCAGAATAATTGGTTCTGGCGTATTTCTTTTGGTTTTACATGTAAAAATGCTGAAACTGATAGTTTCAGCGTATTTCTTTTGATTTTACATGTAAAAATGCCAAAACTGATAGTTTCGGCGTATTTCTTTTAATTTTACATGTAAAAACGCCGAAACGGATAGTTTCGGCATTTTTTTTTTATTGTACATGTAAAAACACCGGAATAATTAGTTCTGGCGTTTTTCTTTTTGATTTTACATGTAAAAATGCCGAAACTATTAGTTCTGGCATTTTTTTTCAATTTTACATGTAAAAACACCAGAATCATTAGTTCTGGCATTTTTTTTCGATTTTACATGTAAGGCGGTTTCTTTTTGATTTTACATGTAAAAACGCTGAAACTATTAGTTTCGGCATTTTTTTTCAATTTTACATGTAAAAACGCTGGAATCATTAGTTCTGGCATTTTTTTTCAATTTTACATGTAAAAATGCTGAAACTATTAGTTCTGGCATTTTTTTTTCAATTTTATATGTAAAAATGCTGGAATCATTAGTTCCGGCATTTTTTTTTCAATTTTACATGTAAAAACTTAAATAAACGTTTTCGCAACATTCTTTAATAAACAATGAAAAAAAGTTGCGAAAATGTTTCGTTTATGCATGCATTATTATATAAAAACGTTTCGCAACATTTTTTGTATAATAGCTCGTTTGGCTCGTGAGCCAGCTCGAGCTTTTTGAGCCAAGTCTGTTACAGGCTCGAGCTTTTTGAGCTGAGCCTAATAACTGGCTCGAGCTCTTCCAAGCTGGCTCGTGAGCCACCAAGCCAATTTAATCATGGCTTTGGCTTGGCTCAGCTTGAAAAGCTTGAGCCAGCTCATGAGCCAGCTTGGCTCGTGTAGAGCACTAATTATTTGTATACTTGTGTTCAAAATTATTTTAGTATTATGGAAATACGTAATTACGTAATTCTGTAATTATTAAGTAATTCATTAGAAAAACTCCGTATTCCGTAATTAATTTCGGACTCTGTAATTAATTTCGTATTACGAAAATATTTGGCCAGAATTAGCCTTAATTTTGGCCGATTTATATATAAAAACTTTAACAAATAATAACTTGGCACCCAGTGATCCGTTTTGGATGATCTTACTACCATTTGATTCGTCTCAATAAGACGATTCTAATGGTAGTAAGATCAATCACTAGATCACGCTCTGATACCAATAACTTTTAAATATTTATAGCGTAATAGCTCCGCCAATATCAATGCTAGAAAGATGATCTTACCGTCATTAGAATCGTCTCATCATGACGAATCGAATGGTGGTAAATTCATTCAAATCTAATCACTAGATCGTGCTCCGATACCAAAATTCATTAAATGTTTATAGTAATTTTACTCCATCAATATCGGTGCTATAGAAATGAAACACATATCATTAGATTCGTCTCAATGAGACGAATCGAATGGTAGTAAGATCATCGAAATCCGATCACTAGATCCCGAGATATTCACAATTTCGCACTATTATGCAAATTTCGGAATTTTGGAATACGTAATTAATTTCGTAACATGTAATAAGTATCCGGACACTTCTAAAAAATGACCATTAAATCACATTATTTCGACGTCCAGTGATCAGAATTTATTGATTTATGATTCATTGGATTCGTCTAATTGAGACGCATCTAACCGCAGTATTTTCAAGTCTGTAAGTTCAATAGAACAGAAGTTATTGCTGAATGTCTAAAAACAGTAAAATGCAAATAACTTTTAATCCATCAATTCTAGAGACATGAAAATAATAGATACAATATACCTTAACAAGATAAATCTAATGAATCATATTTCATCATTCTAAGTTTAATAGGGAAGAAAACATTGTGAAATTTGTATTTGCTAAAGTTTTAAAGATAAAAAATGAATTACTTTATAAAGTTAAATCACATTATTTCAATAACCAGTGAACAGAATTTAATTATTTATGATTCAATAAATTCATATTATCAAGATGTATCTAATTGCAGTGTTTTTATATCTCTAAATTTGATGGATCAGATGTTATTCTCAACAGTAAAATGCAAATAATTCATTATTCACTTTTAAAAATTTGACATATACAAATTTCAAAACGTTTTCTTCTCTATTGAACTTAGAAATATGAAATATGATTCATTAGATTTGTCTTGTTAAGGTACATGGTATCTATTATTTTCATGTTTCTAGAATTAGTGGATCAAAAGTTATTTGCATTTTACTATTTTTAAACATTCAGCAATAACTTCTGTTCTATTGAACTTATAGACTTGAAAATACTGCGGTTAGATGCATCTCAATTAGACAAATCCAATGAATCATAAATCATTAAATTCTGATCACTGAACGTCGAAATAATGTGATTCAATGGTCATTTTTTAGAGGTATCCAGATACTTTTGGCAGGTGGGTGTATTTATTTAAAAGATCCAAATAATTTAATTGAATAAGCATATTATTTATATACATTAATTGTATTAAAAATACTTTTTCATTCAGAACTTTTACTACTATATTTACAGTTTTTATATATAGTTCTGGTAGTAGTATTTTAATGGAAACAAAAAGTGAGCAGTATTTCCTAAAATTCAGATTCTTATTGGAATAAAGTTTAGATACACTTCCAGAATATTTTTCTTGTTTATTATTAGAATTATCTCTGACAGTTTTTTTAAAAAGTTAAAAGATTATAAATTTAGCTTTATTAATTAAAAACATCAATTAACTTACTTTCTAATCCTATTAAAATAAAGCTTCTCACAAGTTAGCTCTGTTGTAAGCTAAAAGTACTTTAAAATATATTGGCTCGCAAGTCTGGCTTACAAGCTAATATATTTTTTAAAGTATTTTTAGCTTACAAGCTGGCTTACAAAAAGCCTTATTTTTAATAGATAAAATATCATTTTTATGAGTACTATCAGGAAATTCTATAGAGATTCATTAGATAAAATTTGTAAATGTTTTAATTTACTAGCAAAATGATTATAAGTACCTAAAATTTTGTTTATCTCTTTATATGGTTCTCCAACTTCTATCTACTCCTTCAATTTCACTTTATCAAATGCTTTCTGGATCTTTCCTTTAAAATCTCTTTTATTCCTGATTCTAGTAATATTTCTAGAGCTCTTCTGTGCCCTAAAGAAAGTTTATATGACATATTAGCTTAATAAACATAATGAGTAATGTAATGAGTAATAAATATACTGTATATCATTAGTATTTGCAACTTTGATTGGTCTATTTTTTGAGTATGTAATTAGTTTATTATCTCACATCTTGTAAATTATATTCTGAATATTTTGGTTAAAGCTGAGTATTTGCAATAAAACTTTTTTGTGTTCAAAAAATTTGAGAACTTTATTAATATGAAAAGTTAAAAGATGAATTATTTATATAAGATGGTGAATGACATTTAATTCTATAAAACTTGGGAGAAAAATTTGAAAAGAAAAAATAAATTGCTTGTGTCCTTTTCGTTTTCGTATTATTATTTTTTTTTTATGCCCAGTGTGGGAGAGGCTTTATTTTTTTTTTATTCTCGCTTACCGATTTATATCTCAATATGAGATTCTCGTCCATTTTTCCTTTTTTTTTATTATTTCTGATATTTGATGCGCTTAATTTTCATTTTTTAAGCTTATTGTTTCTGCTTTGCTCGTTGATATTTTTCTCTGTCTATTTACAAATGATAAGTAATAGAAAATCTATCATATAGGCTATAAGTAAAAAAAAAATATATTTTTTTTTTATACAGGCGAATTTACCGAACTGGTATTTAAGTAGTTGTTTGTATCTTGAGTCGTCAAAGTGAATCCCAAAACATATTTGTTAAGCTTAATTGTACATAAATATTATTTTTGAATAATCACTATAATCACTATACATAATCAATATTTATGATCTCATCTTATGATCTATTTAAACGAATAAGACTTATTGACCTTTCACAACTTCAGACTAAAATTCATGAACTCTAATATGATACTCATTGTTCTTCATGTAACATTTTTGTCCAATCCCATTTCTCCCATTTCTTCATAAATTCTTGAACACGATTCGGGTTATCTTTTGGATTTAGCTTCTTAGGTTTTCTCCATACATTTGGAGGTAAATCACATATCCCAGCAGCAATTTCCTTTCCAAACCATGAAGGAAAGGATTTCTCTTTCTCTATTACATGTCCATATCCTTTGTCTAATCCAAACCAAACATGAAAGTATGGTAATTCTTTAACCATTGACCTCCGAAATGTTGCTTTAGATGTATCAATTAATTTTCTGTTCTGTGACCATTCTCCACTACTTTCCAAAATTCCTTCCTACATAATATTTGAATAGATAAGTATAAAGAAATGAAAGGTAAGAATTGAATACAATCATAAATAATTTAAACCTTAAAATATGCGGGAGCATCCTGAGCCAAGTCCCAGGGCATTGGTATACACTCTATAACAGTATGATTATTCCACTTCATATTGATAACGGTTTCCATAAAAATAACACCACGATCTTCATCGGCGAACATTTGGATTAAACATTTCATAAAGTTCTGCAAAAGTAAAAAAATTTTCTTAATGAAAATAAATCTAAAATTATTAGATTAAAGGATTGCAAAGTACCCTAATTTCATCCCATACGTCATCATCACATTCTAAAGTTGAAGTAACGTGTTGAACAGGAACAATCAAACAATGACCTTGAGACATTTCAACTATATTTGGTAAGGCAAGGTATGCCCTATATCCTAATGATACCATAGCGACTTGAGGTCTCGAATCATCTTTCAAGCAGTATATACAAGTATCCAAAGTTCGTTTCGACTTTTGAAAATCTGAATAAACGGAAAAATTATTAAAAAGAAAAGGTTTAAAAATATTTAAAAATATCTTTTCTTTACCTCTAATTGCAAATTCTTTTTTTTGTTCAAATGTTTTTGATTTCATCTTTGCCATACTATCTGCTTTTTCGTCCATATATTCCAAATCATCCTAATTGTGGAAAGAATATTAATAAAACTTGAACCAACTTTTTTCACAATATATATATATAGTCATAATCGTCATAATTGATAAACTCATAATTGCCTGAAACATCGTATCCTTCATGATCCTATCTGCCATATGCGAATCCATTGCATCTCTAGTTCCAATTCTTTCCTGACGTACTAAATCAGTTAATGAAAGACCATCGTCATCTTTAAAATAGCGTATCCGTTCACCAGTTGTATCATGTGTATCAACCTATTGTATAAAATAATGAATTAATACTATTATTTTTAAAAAAAGAATAAAAACATTATAGTTCATTACCTTTTCTTTCTTTCGACGTGATGGCCCGGCGTGTTGTGGAGATTCAGATCTTTGTCCCTGAAGATCATAAAGTCTACCTCTGCTATCCAGCACAGGCAAAACTTCGACACGCGACTAAAAATATAAATATAGTATTACTTGGAATTCAATGATTCATATTTTTAAGAAAATGATGAAATTGCATACTTCAGAACCAGATTCTGCTCTTTTTTTAGCTTCATTATATTTTTTTTCCAAATCATCTGCATCCGGCATATTCTTTAACTTAGCTTTGAGAACCCTAGCTTGTAATTTATTTAACTCACTAGGAGATAAAATAGGTTCGGAAGATGACACTGGTATGACCGATGGTATATTCGATGTACTAGTACTTGTGACAGTCTTCATACGATCATGATTTGGTGGTGAGGGAGATCGCGAACGCTTTTTCGAATAATCATCACTAGAAGTAGATGAATGATATAAACTTTCATCTTGTGGTCGTTTAAAAACTGCTCTATGAAGCGGATTTCTAAAATTGGTAAATACTGTCTGTGTACTTGATTCGGTTTGAATACCTACACTATCCCTTCCAGAAGGTATATAGTCACTCTCATCTTGGATCAAACTTTCATGATCTATTAAAATTATTAAAAAATTAAGTATTTATTAAAATTCTTTTTAATAATAATAATAATAATAATAATAATTAAATTATATAACGTACCTGACTTTTTGATCTACATAAGTAAAGTTAATTTCAAGGAGAAATAAAAATATAAATAATAAGATATTTAAAATTTTAAAAACGAATTAAAAAAAAGGGGTTGACTTACCTGTAAAATATCATTCGAAAGTTCTTTATCTAAAATATTTTTTTCATTATCTGAGCCGGAAGAACTGCTATTATATTCTTCTTCATGACGGGTTCGTTTTTTATGATGTTTTTTATGTTTTTTATGTTTACTTGACTTTTTCTTTTTGGAATCTTTATCCTTTTTCGATTTTTTAGAACGCTTAGAACTTGATTCAGCTTCCATAATCCGAACAGTAAAAAATGCAAATATATCGTTTTTGATTAAGGAGGTGATGCTTTTTGATTATAGAAGTTAGTTGTACAAACTGTTGTATCGTTTTTGATTATTGAAAAAATAAATGTATCATTTTTGATTATTGAAAAAAAATTCTGTCGTTTTTGATTATTGAAAAAAAAATTCTATCGTTTTTGATTATTGAAAAAAAATGTATCATTTTTGATTATTCGATAGTATCACATGGTCACATGCATAGATTCGACATACTGTATCTTGCGTTTGCACATCGGAGACTTTATTTTTAATAACCCACTAAATAATTTCAAATTATTAATCTTATTAATCGTTATTTTTGTTTCCTTACTATTTACTGCTTCTTGTATATTTTTATTAAGCCATTTAAAACAAAGAATTGCCAACATTCATATGTCATAAATTTAATCCTTATTTTCTCAAAATTTGTCTTTATTACAACTAAAAGACAATAGTATTAATCAATCATCTATTTCATTGCTATGCATATAAACTCCAAATTCAATACTATCATTTAAAATTTCTTTCGCATCTTCAAGTGTTATAC